GGGTGGTCGGCGCGGCTGCCTGGGACAACCACACCCGCTGCCCACATGCACAACAACTCCCTCTCAACCGCTTTCGCATCATCCATCATCGCATACTACATCAAACACGCTTGCGTCGACTAACCATTATGGTAACTACTGTTGCGACATTTCTAAAGCACAACTACTATTTCTACCATCTGCAACCACACTTTACACTAGCTTATTGAGGCTGGGATTGGAGGGCATGCTAACATTTTGGTAATTCAAACATCATGCATGCTAATTTTCCTTACTAGCTCTACCCTACAGTTGAGTAATTCCTTTCTTGATCCAGGAAAGCGGCGCTAACGCTAAACCATTAGGAGGTTCCCACTCTTGACTATCATATGATTAATGATTAATATTTGATAATCCTGAACCTAACCCATAAGCCTAAAATGATCATTAAACCACAAACTAATATGTGACCATTATATATAATAATATTATGACACAGTGCTCAATTTAACAGTCCGTCCGGTCGTCCCGTTGACGACTGGATTTTCTCTCGCTCGTGCATACTACAAATTGCTTCCGTTTGGTTGTCGCGGTGTCCAACCTCTAAATTATATTTTGAAATTTGCTTAATTTCAATTTTTGCTCATTAGTGAATCTGACACAGTGTTATGTAAATGTTACGAAATAAATTTCATGCAACTTCAATTACTATTATTATTACGTCATGGATCCCAGCAGTCATTTAACCACATTACCAAATAGTTTATATTCTCTTCAGTATAATTGAGGTGAAACAATGCGAATGGCCATGTCCCTGCCTTTTGTTCCACTGCAATACGTACAAACTGTACCATGATGTTAGGCCTTTTGCTTCTACAGACTTGAGCATCACGTGAGCAGAGCGCACCTGGCAGCACATGTGTAAATAATATGGAAACCGAAGAGAAAGACTTGAACTCTTGAGGACATACCATATGCCTACTCTCTTGTTGTCCTCTGGACAACCCAAAAAAAAATCTTAAAATTGAGCACTGATTATGTTCTTATGACCATTAATGACATTAAAGTTGGGAACACTCCTAATGGAGTATCACCCTAGGAAGAAGCTTTGGCATTGACTTTCATGTACATCACGGTTTTTTCTACATTTTCCTAATTTTTGTGTGGGATTCATTAACTCCACATACATATATATATATATATATATATATGTATATATAGATCATTATATACCGTATTTACTTGTGGGGTGAAGTGTTATAGATTATTGTCTTAAGAAAGGGTCTTTACAATGTTTATAGAGAAACCATGGCAGCAACAACTGCAGCTCCTGTATGAAGATATTCTAATCTTGTGCCTCGGCTATAGTAGTTTGCAACATTTCTTACGATAATATATCCTTGTATAGACTTTTCGTATATCGTGTTCTTCTTCTATATTATGAAATCAGATGACAGGTTCAGGGGTGCCTGAGGTGCCAGAGTTGCTGGTGAATCATGGGACTGCATGCAAACTTTGAAGTGATGTTGGTGCTCCTCTCCTACCCTCTCTTGTCATGGGTCTCTTGTCCTGTCCTGGGTCTGGTCTCCTCTCCTCTCCTGAGTGAGAAAATGAATATCGTTCAGTTAAATAGCATTTAGGTATAAATATAATTGCACTTTTGTGATTAGCCCTCGGTCTGTAACGTGCAAAATAAATTGTGAAATGCGCAACTTTTTTAGGGTGGCAGCACGGTCACAGGTGTCATGTCAACGCCCAAAAATGAAGATTTTGAAATGATTCAAAATGGTCGTGATGATGAGGATTTTGAGATTTTGAGATTTTGAATATATATGTGCTATTATTTATAAATCTACTATCATAATATACTCTCAAATTCTAGAGTAAAGTATTCCTTTAATAATAATTATGAAACCAGTCGGCAAGCTCAAAAGACCAGACCTAGAATAACTTCTCTGGGCTTAGTTTTCATACATTGAAAAGTACGATAATTTAGTCAAGATGGCTGCGCCAATATGCAATATGTGCGTGCGGTTTGGCATTTATAATAGTGGCTGGTTGCGATAACGATGACATTTCTTGCACAAGATTTCTTAGCGTGTATCAGTCGCACCCCTTTTTTCATTGAAGTTGTGTATAAAAAATGGTTACTTACAACGAGTAAATACGGTACATAATGATCTCTCTCTCTCTCTCTCTCTATATATATATATATATATTGTGGTGACGAGAAATGATATTGTGCAATAACAGGGGAGATGATGCAATAATATGAGTCATGTCACATGCTCAAAGGGGTGAGAAAATAAGAATATTGAAGTCGGGGTGTGGCTCTCGTATGCAGACCCACGCATGTATGTTGCAACATATGTATTAGAATAAAGCCGTCTATAATATACAACTATTACAAGGCGTCTTCGACCATCACTGTCTACGATCACTGACCGACGAGTAAGAGAACAACGAATACCAGTCTTACAATATGGAAGTTAGTACTACCTAAAAGCTAGTAGCTATAGCTTAATTGTTGCTTGACCACCAATGGGTTGAGAGGAATCGATTAAAAACACACCGGATGGGCCAGACACTGCAACACTCCATTAGTCATTACCATCAACAAATTCCACATTGGACAGAGCGAGGTTTCTACTCCATAATGTACATACACGTATACTGTTACTAAGACGATATTACAATAGCCCAGGTTGCTACTTGCTTTTTCCTAAATTATAATATATCACTACCCGAAACAGTGGCCATGATGCCTCACCCACAGGAACTTGGAACGTCTCAATAAAATAACAGTTCATAAACACACAATGTATTTACTACCAAAGTCTTAATGTTTCTCTACTCTATTTTGCCTAGTATTGTTGAGAACTTGCTGTAAATGCCGTTTAAATGCTCATCTGCAACACACAAGTACATCGCACGCCCGACCTGTGCACAAATAAGAAGAATAAGAGAGTATAAGAGAACCCTTAGGCAAAATAGAGTAGAGAAACATTAAAGGCTCACAATATGCGCATCCAAACGCTAATTTCTCCAGTACTAGACTAGCAAATACTTCGTGTCATGCATAATCATACTACCTTTTTCCTAGGATCAAGAAAGGAATTACTCACTGTAGGGTAGAGCTAGTAAGGAAAATTAGCATGCATGATGTTTGAATTACCAAAATGTTAGCATGCTCCAATCCCAGCCTCATAAGCTAGTGTAAAGTGTGGTTTGCAGATGGTAGAAATAGTAGTTGTGTTTAGAAATGTCGCGACAGTAGTTGCATAATTGGTTAGTCGACGGCAGCGTGTTTGATGTAGATGCGATGATGGAGATGCGAAACGGTTGAGAGGGAGTTGTTGTGCATGTGGGCAGCGGGTGTGGTTGTCCGGGCGTGCGCAACTTTCTTTGTTAGCTAGAAATACATGTATAAAGGGAAAAAGGTTCTTGGTTGTGAGGGAGATCAAACGTGAGTGTGCGAGGCATGCGGCTGCGTGCCTCTGTGAGCGCGCATGTGGGTTGAGAAACAATAATACTATTTGCTGAACACGGAGTTTTCCTTTTCACTTTCAACTTACAACAAATCTACTTTGAAACGGGTAACGTCATCTTCCTCGTTACACTAGCACCTTGGCACCAATTATTCCTCGTCTCTCTCTGATATGCCTGCATATCAAACATGCCGCTATAAAACACATACAGAGTGAACGGATAACAGGATAACAAATAATCTAGCTTGCACCAGTATTTATACCATATATTACCCACCAGATATAATTTTTACAATTAAATATTGATTTAAAATAATAAATCAGTCTACAATTGTATATACAGAATACATATTTCTACAATTCAATATTAATTTCTAAAATAAATCAGTCTTAAACATTGTCAATTGGTTCCAATTTATGTTTGTACTTCTGAATACAGAAAATATTTCAAGGAACAGCTGTGTCCCCATGTCACTGACAAGATGACATGTGGACAGCTATGCTGCAATCACACACTTACCTTGCTCCATACCTGTCCACCCAACACACGAGTCTTCCTAACCAATGGTGATATGGGAAGTATCAAGCGATGAGTCCCGACTGATCCAACGGAGATTGGGAAAGGTGAAAACACTGATGTTGAATGGCAAAGTTAGGTACCCTTCAGCCACAGCAGAGCCTTGACACATCTGATGGGATGAAAGCAAAATAACAGCCTATGCCATCTTCATAAATCCGGCGTGGAACCAAGATGTGCAGTCGTCGCACGCCACGGTTTAATGTACAGTGTACTCAGAAAGGGTCTTTACAATGTTTATAGAGAAACCATGGCAGCAACAACTGCAGCTCCTGTATGAAGATATTCTGTGGTCGTGTGTGTGTGTAGGCGTGAGTGCGCTGTCGCGTGCGTCGCCGCGACCGCGTGTGTGTGTGTGTGTGGGTGTGTGTGTGTGGTGTGTGTGTGGTGTGCGTGTGTGTGTGTGTGCTGGTGGTGTGTGCGTGGTGGTGTGTGTGTGTGTGTGTTTTGTGTGATGTATATATATGTGTTTTTATATGACTGTAAAAGCGTATTATAGCGTATAATATCCCACATTTTGTGCTTGAGGGGGTTTAAAAGTTTGCTGAGAAAATGCATATTATTAAAAAAATAACTAGAGATGCGCGCTTTCACTACTTTAAAATGGCGTAGATCTTTTGTTGTTTCATTAAATTATAACACTCTGACACAAAGATTAAATGCCAGTTTTCTTGCTGTAATGATACTCGGTATGAAGAAGTTCGAGGAGACTTGTAAACTTCCATAGGTTACGAGGTTAAGCTCTTCTCCATGAGTCCTAATGATAAAGTTAGCATTGCCATTTAATTAAGAGATAAGACATGGGCGCATGGCACTTGGTCAGCCCGCCGACCAGCACTCGGGTATGCTTCTCACCAGGCTAATATAGCAATTTTCTGCTCTTATATATGAGAGCAAATGTTTTTGTAGCTCACTGTTGACTAAGGTATATAGTAGTCAAATTGTAGTGATACGAATGGGCTTACAAATGCCTGCCTCATATATATGGCTGTGACATAAGTTCCCACAGCACTGAGCGTTAGTAGTAGTACTGACAGCCCGCGGATCGCTGCCGCAGGCTATAGACATCCTCTCGCACTAACGAAGTAATCCCTAAGGCAAATCGGTCCCACTGATTCGTCGCACCCCCCCCCAAAAATTTCTCCCGCAAAACGTAAAACTGATTGGCGCCATTCTTTCAAACACTTACTCCGCCTCATCACACTCGCTCCCTCCCCCTCACTCTCTCTCTCTGCACCACCACTCCCCCCCCCCCCCCCCTCCAACAAGTTTACCCAAGCCTGGCAGGTATTTAAATAAATTATTTGTATGGCTGTTATTCTCAAAGTCTTTAGCACTGAAGAGTCAGGCGTGCACGACATAAGCAGAGCAACCGCAGTTTGAAACAAACAACCAGTAGTGCTAAGGACTTTGAGGAATACAGCGATAATACTGTGTATAGTTGTGAAGGGGTTCAAAAAGATAGGGTGAGATCATTGTTGATAGATAAGTGTTAAAGCACGATCATTTGTTTAGCGTTGTTGGGATATAATTTGTTTGGGTCACAGCTTCAAGTTTTGGATCCATTTTGCTTAGCATTATTATGGCAGAACTGTGCTTATTAGCTGCGGCAGGATCCGCGGCTATAGTACATAAGCTGCACAAGCACCGGCTCGACAGGCACAGGCACTTGTAGCTTGTGCGTAACTGTGGCCACCTTGGTGCAGCTTGTGGCGACGGGATTGTCGATATGCGCAGGGGTATGTTCTAACAAGGGTATTCTATACATCAGCAATGACGTGTTCTCGTGGGCTAAGGCATTGAGTTAATTTGGAACGTATCAATACAAGTAAAACATGGTTTATGTGTAATTAGATTTATAATAATGAATATGGACTCATTATCATGAGTCCATACATCGGTCTCATGCAGATGGTGTTGTCGTATGAGGTGTACGTTCAGATGATGTACCCCGAGGTAGTTTTAGGTTGTTTAGTATTATGTTATATTTTTTTATGAGATGTTTTGAGGGTTATGGGAGTTAGGGAACTTCTGTGTACAAGTCTGGTAGCACTGTGTACTACAATGTATGCTACCTGGCGAGAAAAAAATATTCTGTAGTACCTGATACGACAACGACTTCCCTTTCAGAGTCACCTTATTACACACCCACTGACGCTCATAGGGTCTAAGTGTCCCCAAGGTACTGCCGGAACGTACCCCTTGGTGACTAATAGTGAACTACTATCTGAATATGGTTAGGCCGTAGAGCGACTTCCCGTATGATGTTAGTGGAGTAAGGCGAGGTACGGTCGCGGCATAGATAGATAAGTAGCCGGTTACGTTCCGATATACCGACATAACCAGGGTACCTTCAGGCAGGGCTCGAATGTAGAGCGCGAGAAAAAGGGCAAGGGCAATTTTTTTGGGGCGACGTGAGAAATCGCCTTGAATTTTCTCTAAGAATGAAGGGTAAGAGGCCAATTTTGAAAAGGATCAAGGCAACTTTCAAAATTTGGAAGGAGCACGGAAGGCACTTTTGTAAAATAAAGATAAAACTCATAAAGAATTAGACATCAACATCGTCATTGCTGTTTAATGTACAAAACATATGGCCGCGATTGTAATGCTTTACACTCGTAACACCGGGACGCCTTGTACCCCCCTCTGCTATGAAGTACAGGTAGCACAATAGAATTTTATATCCCGCTATCAGGAAGGTGAATAGATTTTCCGTCTGTTTTGTTCCTCTGGCGCTGATGGTTTTAAGCTCATCATTGCAGAGCTACACGCACGAGCGGTTATGGTTGAGTGTGGACGCTAAAAACGAAGCTAGGCGTAGATAGCAGGGGCACCGACGGCAAATGTAACAACCAAAAGGGCAAGGCCAGGTGACGCGTCGCTCGAGTTGGATTTTCAGGGGCGAGGTACGGCAATTGAATAGTGGCACCGACGGCAAATTGGGTCGGTGGCGCGTTAATCGAGCTGGTTCAGGCGGTACCTGGGGGACATAGTAGACCTCTTCAGCACCAGCTAACGATCCAAACAGATCTGTTAATACTGACCGAAGAGTTCGCCGCTTAAGATCAGGGCTACATTGGTCTCCGAATATACTAGTATCAGATAGGAGTTAGTGATGGATTCGAGCCTATGGTGAACGTGTGTCGGTGTCGCCCGGACTGTACCTCACTAACCCTAAACTAGAATGATGCTAAGTTTAGAGGAGGAAGTGGATTCTTCGCATGACAGAGTTTTCAAGGAGTGTGGTGGGGTAGGAATGCTAAGTGAGGATATTTGATTGTGTGTGGACTCTGAGGTGTGCAGGTTGCTCTACGTTGCGCAAATACGGAGGCCGCGCACGCCGTTTGGGAAACTCCCCTGTTTGGAATCGTTGCGCCCGTTTAAATTTAACCCTCCCGCCCGTTAAATTCCATCCCCAAATAAATAGTTCCAGCGCGGGATCGACGTCAGGAATCGCGTTTCGACCAGGACATCCGACGTGCGTGTATTTTTACCGTACCCAGTCATGCGACTGCAGACAGTACATTCAAGTTAACCTGAACAGATGTCACAGTTAACCTGTTCACTTAATGTACACCGGACTCGGCAGTGCTCGACAATAAGCGTTGTCCGGGTTTGTCGAGACCAACAGAATTTGCGGGCCGGACAACCTAAGACAGTCTGAAGACAGTTTGTCGTGGACAACCAGCAAACACTATACTACGTAAACTAACTATAACCGACTCGCTATGTTATAGTATATGCGTGGTACAAGGACCCGCACAATTAATCTATGGTGTAATTAACGCTTTTGCTTTCAATATTTTGCATGTCTGAACTGACAATCAATCCCAACCAACTGGTGTAGGCTAGCTCGCAGACAGATAATGTTCAGTTTTTCATGACTTCAGAATCGGAGTGTTTTTCTAGCTTCATCAAGAAAATCTTAATGTGAATTAAATCGGAATAATATAAATATGGGACGCAAGCTGCTATTTCAACACTTTGGGTATACTGTCAAGGTTTTCCTGATTTATGAGAGGTGAATCGATTTGGAACCAGCAAACCAGCAAGTTCAAAGTTTTCTTGGGGGAGGACCCATACCCCCCTATCCTGTATGTTTTCACACCCTCCCTCCTTGGAATCTAGACCACCTCTGAACAATTAAATCGTTGGGAAGCAGAGAACAATGAAAATCAAAGAAGTGTCGCCTATTTCGCATCGGATTTGCAGAGCTGAGAGGTAGAGGAACGAGCTATGAGCCGTAGGGAGGGTGATGGAGAAGCGAGGGCGAGGAGGAGGCCAGGTAAACTATTAATGTCATCCACGTATTTTGCGCAGTTCGCTGTTTTTTGGTCCCTTGTGTAAAAATCCGTGGCTGAACGGCCACTGTTTTTGGGGGTGTTTTCTGACATATTATTAGTGTATTGAAAATAGGCATTCGTGGGATAATTTTTTTTTGGGACAACCAGAAATTGTTCGCGGACACACGACCTGATTTGATGC